TTTTTTTTTTTTTTTTTTTTTAATTCTTTGATATAAGCAGTCATGGTACAGCATTTAAATCTAACATGTACAGCTTTTCAGTGGTCCAATATAACCTAGAAGTGCTAAGAAGATGGTTAATAACTTTTAGTAAGTAATATAATATGGCATTTAGTGATGTAGAGGTTGAAGTTCATTAAAAGCTTTAAATAAACTATTATATGACTGGTTTGTAAAGCACAGCTACCTATTTAATAGCAAGCTTTAAAAGCATTTCTTAAGTTGCAGACCTATAAGATTACAAATGTCACTCATGTTAGCATAATCCACATGCAAGTGATGAAGCCTTTGCTTTGATGTGCTAAATTGGAGGAAGACTAATGGAGCTATGAATATACAATAGAACATATTTAAGTCATATTCTTGCTTTAGGTAAAACACTTTCTTGAAACCAGAGGCATTTCAGACAACAAAACAGGAATGTTAGGTGTGGATAGTAGGCTTCTGGAAGCACTTAGATTTGTCCTTATATGAGAAATGACTTGTGTGTTGTGTGGGTTTCTTCTTTTTTAGTTATTCTTTCAGGATAAGGAAAAATATGCACATGTTCATCTTCTATAACATGGATATGCTACACTGATACTGTGAAATGCATGTTCCATGTTTAGCATTTTTGAAAAGTCATACAAATATGTCATCCAGTCAGAGCTGCTGCACTTCCAGAAATGAATGCAGTTGCAAAAAAAAAAAAAAAAGGAAATGCTACTAATCTGAAATCATCCTAGAGAACTCAGATAATATGTTCTGTTTATCTTGCATATAAATGTCTCAATCATATAAATTGTCACTCTTATTAATGAAACAATTTTGTAAAAAGATTGCCCTCTAAATGGGTTTAATGTTTTTACCTATCCAGCTGTCTAGTTATAAGATTTACTCATCCCGGCAGGCACTGGGACATTAAGCCTTTCCAAACCAAATTCTGTTTGCCACAAGATACTGTCTTTCCAGTTCTTCATGATTTATCTTTAAATATTTTAACAGGTTATATTTTAACAGGTTATGCAGTATCTTATGAAATATAAAATGAAAAGTTGCAAATGAAGCCTATGAAATTAAGTAACATCTTTAGAATATTAAATGCAGTGAAGTGGTCTCCCATTTGACCTATTGGTTAATGCTGATAAAATTTGCATCAAATGTTTTTAGGCTAAATACAAAAAAATAAATTGTAATCTAAAACAATATAATATGAGTGTATATCCCTTACATTTATGGTTTTTAAAAAAGGATAATTTTAGTTTCAGACTAGATCATACTCTCCACTGTCCAAGAGTTGTATATCAGAGCCTGGCAAAGGGATGTATTTCTGTATTAGAAAGAGCTCTATTAAAATAAAATATAAGATTTGAGATTGGGGCATCCATTGGTGTGTGCTCTCTCACTCTCTTCCTCCGCCTCCCCTCCCCCTCTTCCACCTTTTATGTACTTAACTGTGAAATTATCTGTAAGTGGTTGTGCTCTTGGGCAGGCTTCCCTACCTGAGACTACAGGACATGAAGTACCAGATAGCCACTGTTACTACTGATAGTTATTTTAGTTCCAGGTGCGTATCTATTGTCAGTCCAGCTAAGCCACAGAAAAGCTTTCTGCAATTAAATAGCAATTTGTTTCCATGAAACTGCAATTAAAGTATTACCAATCAGCCATTTTAGATTGGCAATGCTTTGAATGCATGTTAAACAGTGAGCTGCTCTCATTTTATCCCTGTAGAGTCTGAGCTATGAATAACAGTGAAGTGTAACATGCTCGCTTATGTCCCTTGTCAAGTTAAAAGTATGAGTCCTCAATGAAGCACTCTTATCTCATTGTGAACATGCTGAGAGCAGTGACAAGTCAGGGCTGATCTTTGTAAGTTGAACTTGCAACTAAGAGTACCTAAAGTTATTACTGCTTTGTGTTCTTGTGTAAGCAGGGATGTGTGCATTTCCTACAGGAGATATTTTCAACTTCAGATTGCTTCTGTTGAGAATGGAGTGCAAGTTGGGGGGCCTCAAGCCAATAATGTACTTCAGGTCCTGACTTGTTAGAGCTGTGTAAACAGGGCTACTGTATCTCCTTAATCACAACTAATAAAAGGCTAGAACAAAACACAAGCAATTGTGTTTTAAGTTGTTTTTAATAAAACCAGAAGTTTAGCCATTGTGGCCGTTACTGATGCACTTTTGTGACGGGTAATACTACCCCAAGCTGCCAAAAAATCATCCTGCCTGTGCACACTCTCTGTGTGCTCCTACTAAACTCTTACATTTCCAGAGAAATGTAGCTAGCCCTGTTAATCTGAAGTTCAACAGAAGGCAGGACAGAATAGCACCTTATATGCCAATTTAAAGAGAAACGTGCTTTTGTATGCAATGGCTTAATATACTTATATCTGATGAAGTAAGCTACTGCTTATGAAAGTGTATGCTTCTCCAAGTAGTTTATTTGGCATCACTGTCCATTGTTTCCAGAAAACTGCACAAATCCATCCCTTCCCAAGAACCCGTTGGCAAATGTGGTGAGTTCTGTGACCTGTCTTGGATTGGTGCCTTGTTGACTTCAAAAGAAAAATGTGAAGTTATGGTATAAATTTAAATGCTGTTTTTAAGCCTCCAATGGAGTTAATGGTATTGCCAATTGTTGCTACTTTTTAGTAAAATTTGGAACAGTTTTGGGCCCTGAGATTTTGCAGGTTGGGGCTCCATACAGTATGGTTCTGTTGGCAGTAGGAATGATGTTGCAACCACTGTGCCTGTAAGATAAGAGCCATTTTATTCTGAGCTGTATTTTTGGCTGCCTCAAAAATGTTCATTGGAGGTTGAACTGTTTTAAGCTCTGATCCTACCTATACTGCGATCCATGCGAGTAGGTTGTTGTATCTGTAGGTTGTTGTATCTGTAGGTTGTGAGTCTAAGCACAAGAATTGCATCCTGTAGGGACG